CCGGCTGCTGCAAGGAGTCAGAGCTGTGGAACAGACAGGTGGCCTCCTGGGTATCGATCTTTTTCCCCTCCTCCCCTCACCCCCTTCCCTGGCAAGATGGCAGGGGTCCCCGCCAGAGGGCAGCCCCTTTTCCGTTGGCTGTCATCCACCCAGAAGTAAGGGATTCAGGGAAGTGGCATGGGGCTCTTGACCACCTAGGGCCCCAGCCCTTGGAGCAGAGCAAGGATATCCAGGAACTGTTCCTTGTTTTCATTTCCATTGGTTTTCAGCCAGCTGCTCAGAAAGACCTGTCCTAAAAGTCACCCCCAGCAGCCCCCTCTCTTCCCCGGTCTCCTGATATTTGGACCATGATCATTTTGATGTATGTTTGAGTCCTTCTAAAACTATATAACCTCAGTTTAGTTAATGGGCAGGAACCCTAGATGTAACCGGATCCTTTTCAGGGGATGTGGGTGCCTTGAGCCCTACATGTCCCAGTGAGACACTGATTCCCACAAGCCTGCAACTGGGCTTGGTGCTAAGCCTGGGCCAGCCATTCATCTCAATGACTTCAGCCCGAGGAATGAGCCTCGCCTCTGCTCAACACCCCGACAGTCCCCAGAGGGTGTCGGAGAAGCTTCCGAGGGGCCTACTCAGATCTCTGCAGACAGAACTGCCCACAACAGGTAGCAAGCCGGCCTCTTCCTAACTTGGCGCCGGTAGAAAAAGCAGCGGGACAGGAAGTCTCTGGGTCCAAGCCCTTGGAGCTCTGCCTCTCGGGGCTCAGGCACACCTTTGCTGGCTTCGCCCCCCACCTCCAGTACTGTACGCTTGCTGCTCCAACCCCTCCGTTTGGTGAATTTCTGGACAAATACGGATCTGCATGCCCAGGGTAGGACTGTACACCCATGTGTAGGTGTCTCCTCAGAGTGTATACGTCTATGTCCAATCTTTGAGAGTCTTGACACAGAGCTCTCTGGAAAGAGAGCCATCCACATAGCTAAAAAATTAAGATTCCCTCACTTTTTTGAGGGCTGCGTGTTGTTGAGAAAATGTGTGTGTGAATAATTTCCCATTTGAACTAAATAACAGAGGGTTAGAGGGGGAAAAAATACTGGGCAAGCTGTCTCCATCGTACAAGTCCTCGGCACCGGGCAGGCCCCACGGGACTCACGGCTTCTGGCAACAGCAAGTGTGTGTGTTATTCACACACATAATTCTGGCTGGAGAGTGCAATGTGTCTTTTTTTTTTTTTTTTTTGGTAATTATTTTATTATTTAGTTGGAAACTTCACACTGGCATTAACAGATCTAACAGAAGCAGCCTAGGCCATAGTCCCGGGACCCAAAATGAAGATACTGAGAAGAGATGCCGCTAGGTGTGGAAGCACTGAGGTGTTCTGCATGTGTGTCGTGTAGCAGGCTGACTCTCACCCGTCGCCATGCATATCATCGCTGTGGGAATCCCCATGTGATGAAACTGCTGCTGACGCTCGGTTCTTGTGTTTCTGAGGGTGATCAGGCTAGGCTGGTCAGGGCGAGAACTTGCTCCTGGTGAACTCAGTAGGTCCGCACGTGCATACACGTCAGCACCTCTAGTCTAGACTTCGGGCCCTGTCTGAACATTCCATGGGAATAGCGTGGAGGGTCCCCCTTTGACCTTACTGAGTTTTTTGCCTAAATAATGATCCCTGTTTGGGGCAGTCTCCGTGGTTCTCAAGCTCTATAATCAGAGAATGGTAAAGGTCATTTCGGGAAAAACAGCCTCACCAATTATAGCTTCCCTCCTGTTTTTTTTTTCCTGTGCACGTGAGTTCCCATACCACGAGTTGGGCACATTGGTGCTTATAGAGTGGGTAGAGGGCTCTATCTTCCACGGCCTTGATCCCAACCTGCCTATAAGGTTGGAATTACCATGTGATACCCATTCCCCAATCCTATCTTTTTAATCTTGAGTTTGCACTTGACCTTGACAATCAGCCCCCTCTCCCATCCCAGTCCTAGAACTTAGTGGCCTTATAGAGTGGATCCCTGTGCTGAAGGTCCCTCCTTTAACCCAGTTCCATCCTGGCTCATGGGGCTGGACTTCAGGAGGCGAGAGAGAGAGAGAGAGAATTGTTTTAAAGCAAAAGGATGGATTGAGCACGTTGGTGGCGAGTGAGAGGCACGTTGGCGAGATGAGTGTGTGCATGTTTGGGGTGTCTGGGGCTTACATCCCTTCCCTGGGGAGGTAGCTTCCAGAAGAGAAAGTCTTCTAGGCAGAAAGGGGAAAGAAAGTATGAGAAGGCTGAGAGAGGATTTGGAATCTGGAGTTTTGTCTTTATTAAAAAGAAGGAAGAAATCAATTCTAAGTGTTTCAGGAAGAAGAGAGCAGGTAAGGAGGGATTTAGTGATTCAACACCCAAGGGTCCAGCCAGAGCAGGTTGGAAAAGCCCCAAGATTAGGCCATAGAAGAAGCTGGCCGGAGGAAACAGCTACTTGCTGTGTCACAAGCTGGATCCCCAGCAAGTTCTTAATGGTCACTGCTTTACTTAATGGAGAGAGGAAGTCACCAGCAACAAACTGATCTTTGAGTTTGGAGGCCCAGGCTCCAGACTATTCATCCATTTCCCAGGTTCCCGACTGGTTTTGCCCACCTCCCTTTGTCCAATCCAGAGCTAGCCTCTCAAATAGCTTGAAGACTAGTGACCAAATGGGTCATGTAGTAAGGGCCCACCACCCCCAAACTGAAATCCCAGGGTCTAGATACCATCAAGCTTTATCTGGAAGGAAGTCAACCTCGTTTGGGTCTCCTGTCGACCCGTTATTTTCAAGTATCTCTGATGAAACCTGTGGTTACTCGGTTTGCTGAGCCTGCCCACTGGTGAGGCTGAGAGGATCGGGTGCAACACACACTTATCCATGGATATGCCCTTTCGTTTTTAGTGGCCTATGACAAGGCACACTGCTCTTAAGTGTTTATTTCAGAGAAAGGAGGGTAAACAGCCACCATTCTTGAATCTGCAACTTGTTCTCTGCAACAGGTTTTCTTTAAATCCAGATACAGGATGGGAAAGGGTTTCGCTGCTAGTTACCGAGAAGTCTGCAGTAAGGTGACTTCCAGGAAAAACGTGAGTGGCAGGTCCCTGAAGTGTGAGTCTGTGGACTGCATGGTTGCATGTGAACTGCTGGACTCCAGAACTTTGGAGAATTCCTCGTGGCATCCACTTAACACCTCCCAGCTCCTAGCACGCCCTGTCAGGGTCAGGAGGAAGTTGTTCCCTGTTCCCCGCTTAGCAGAGAAACTGAAGAACATTGAATTCAGTGTGTTCAAACTGAGTGCTAAACAATTTCCAGAACCCATGGTGGTGCTAAACTATCTCCATGTTTCTAATATTTTTAATAGGTTTTTTTTTTTTTTTAATTGTTTTCATCACAAAAATGCAGTGTCCTTGGGGAAGGGACCCAGCCCTTGGCCTGCTACTTTCCAGGTGTTCTTTATCATTCAGATGGGACTCTTTGGTCTGCAGAAAATATTCTGTCTTGGCATGCTTCTGGACTGTAAGATTTGGGTTATTTTGTTTTGTATTTTGTTTATGTTTACATGCATCTTCTTGTATTTCCCTGAAAATTAAATAAAGTTTTTGGCCTTTTTAACTGAACAAAATCACCTCTTAATTCTCTCTGCCACCAGAAAACCCATCCAGTTGAATGGCCAAAGCCACACTATGCCAAGTGCAAGGTGAACTGCAGGGTCCTGGGCCCTCTGAGGACATGGTGGGGCAGAGGATAGGGAAGTTCCCACCCTCATTGGTGAGAATCATACTCGAGCTCCTCCCCGTTTCCCGCCTTGGCTTTTCGGGAGGCCTTCTGTGCAGTGGCCAAGGCTTTGAAAGAGATGCAGATGTGGGGGCCAAAGACCCACATCTAGCTGCAGATCTAGATGCAGATCTGGGGGCCAAAGACCCACAGCGTAGCTGGCCCCTCAGACTCTAGTAAGCAGGACTGGGCTGTCTTGACGTAGGGAGCAGCCCATGGCCATTCAAGACCAGGCAGAGGCTGGGCAGCCAGAGTGACCTCCCAGGAGAGAGGGCAGGAAGGCAGGCATCTCCTGTGCCTTTGGGGCCCCGCCCCACCAAATCAGCATGATTCTGAACTGTGCCTAGATCCCCTCGGGCAGACTCACCTTCGCAGCCAGCCAGAGGTACTCAGCACATCTAGAAAGTTTCTCTAAAGGTCTCCTTTTCTGCCCAGCTGTACCACCCATTTAGTATAGGCCTCAGCAATGGGAGCTCAACTGATCTCCCAGCCAGGGGCAGGGGTGTGGGCCTGGAGCAAGGGCTAGGGAGGCCCTGTTCCTGAGGAACTCAGCACAGTCCCCGCTGACTTGTCATCTTTCCATTAGCCCCTAGGTGGCGCTGCCACCCCCACCCCTGTGGGCCAGGTTGGGGCCCAGCTCAGCCTACAGAGGAAGCTGAGCAGACCTCATGGATTCCCGCTGCTCCTGCCCCAGACCTTGCTCCTCACGGACTCAGGGACCTGAGGCTACCAAAGGGCATCCCCCTTTCAACCTACAAGGCTCATCTGGCGTTCTGGCCATTGTCCAAGGCCCAGGTCATGTTCCAGCCCCCCATTCCAGGGAGTCTTCCCTGATTGGTGACACCCCACGCTACTCAGGACACCTGACCCTCCAGCACCAGCCCCCGCCCCAACACACATGCCTGAGCGCATGGCCGTACCTCCCTAGCCCTCCACACTGTACAGCACAGCCCGCAGGCTGGTACGAAATCACCTTTATTCACAATCACAGCGACCCACGTTCACAAAGGAGGCAGCAACTACCCCGCACTAACAGAAAATAGGACAGATGGCTTCCTCTCCCTCACCCCCAAGCCAGGCAGCCCCTGCCCTTAGGGCCTTTCCTTGCTTCTGAGATGAAACCTTTGTCTGGATGAGGCCACCCCCACCCCACCCCACCCTCACAGAAGGGGTCTTTGGGGTCAGTGATTGGGGAGTCTCCTAGTGGAACCGTGACTTCCCAATGGCCCATTGCAAGGCAAAGGCCTGGCCTGGCGTCCTGACCCCAGTGCTGTCCCACCAACCACCCCACAGCAGGCCCTCGCCAAAGAACTCCGAAGACTTACACAAGACTGCCCCCTCCCCGAACAATCATTTCACAGAGGTGGCAGCTGAGGCACAGAGGGGCTATGACCTGGCCAAGACCACACAACTGGTTGGTTGCCAGTTCCATGCTCTGCCAGCCATAAGGAGAAGCAGTCTCTGATGGGCGTAAAAAGCCATCTGAGGCAGAGGGCTGGGAGGCTGGGGAAGACTAGGCCAAGACTCTAAGAGCTGGCCCCAGCCCACAGCTCATCAGACAGGGTGGGCAGGGCAAGATGACTACAGCCTAACAGCGGGGGGACCTCACCCCAGAACCAGGAGTCAAGGACCCAGAGGTACTGAGATCCAGCTCCTAGTCCCCTCATCTTTCTGGGGGTGGAGTGTCTTTCCTAAGAACAGGCTCCCTGCCCCGACTATCACTAGGCTCCCCAACTCTGTTCCCTGGCCCAAGCTAGGCTCCCGTCCTTCAGCCTTCCCAGAACATTTTATGTCCTTGTGGAGGGGGGTACTCCTGGGCCTCCTGACATATTTGAGCCAGCTATGATAACTGCTCTAGCCCAGGAAGGAAGGGCACTTTGTGGCTCTGGTGACCCACCAGCCCCAGGGCATTAGGGAGGCTTAGTCTGCCTCTCTGTAAAATGGACACAATTTTTCAGGAAGCCTCCCAATTCAGCCCCTTTTTATGGAGTTCTAAATCGTGGTAAGTAGAACTGGCTATGGACTTTGGGGCTGGAGTCTGGGAAAGATTTTGAAGGGTGAATACCTCTGCTGCCCCCTCTCACCAGGCATCCCGCACACCAGGGCAGCATGTCTAGGGGCCTGAGGAATGAGAACTCACCAACCACCCCCCCGCAAAAAAAAACCCCACAAACCAAATAAATAAATAAATTAAAATAAAGGAAAAGGCTGGTATGATCCCAGGAAAACTCCCTGGCCCCAACCTAGGGCCCTGGACTCTCCTAGGGATTCTACATCTGTGAGCGTCAGCCAGGCCAGGACAGCACTGAGATGCAGGACAGGTCACAGAGAGTAGATACAAACCTGTTCTTATAGAGTCTCCGACAGAAGACAGATCCTGCTCTCCAGCCCACACCAAGGGGCGAGATGATTGGGGCAGAAAGGCTATGGCCAGGAAGGGGCCCTCCGCATCTGCCAGGGCATGGGCCAGGGACTCAGCATCTGGAGCCTTATGCAGCCTGTCCATCCACCCACCCTGGGTGAGGGGAATAGGGATATGGCATGGAGGCTGCAGTCTCCCTGGGCCGAGAGGTATCCACTGGCCTCCCTTCCACTGGCTGCCAAGCCCAAAGGGGCAGAGTAGAGAGGAAGAAGGTGAGTAGGTCAGAATGTAAGGCCGCAGCTCAGGGGCCACCTGGCCACAGCTGCTGTTGAGCAAGTTGTGCACTGCTCACAGGCCGCTGGCTGAGGGAGTAAATGGAGGCTGAAGTCCAATCCATACTCCACCAGCCAAGCCCCATGCCGTGGCTCAGGGTCACATCTGCCCAGAGGAAGGTACATGCTTTCTAAGTCTCACAAAGGTACCACATGGGCTAGAGGGACCTCCTAGAAGTCTGCCCCGATGGGGAAGGATTAGGACAGGCTGAGACCCCAGTTTAGTCCCTCGGCATGTAGGGAAGAGCTAAGTGCAGAGAGGAAGGCAGAGTATAGACTCTACTCCTCTCTGGCAGGTGATTTGCTTCTGCTCCCCACCTCCCTGCCTGCTACCCTCTTTTTCCCCAAATCTTCAGGGACCTCAGTTTCCTATGTTTAATGGAGAAGGGAAAAGAGTTTCCGAAACGAAGAAGAGAAGGGGCCCCGCTGGCTTGCCCCTGGCTGGAGCTGAGCCGAGTCTGAAGAGATGGGGGTGCGGGGCAGGGCGCCGCAGCGGGCTAGGAGCTTCGGTAGGTCTTGATGATGTCCTTGATGGGGCGGCGGCAGATGGGGCAGCAGGCGTGCAGAGCCTTCTTGAGGCGTAGACCGCAGGCATAGCAGAGGCACATGTGACCACATGTGTAGATGACCGTGTCCACCGCATGCTCATAGCAAATGGTGCACTCGTCGCTCCACTGGCCCGGGCCTGGAGTCACTGGTGACTCAGGCAGGCTCACGGGTGAGTTGGGGGCCGTCCCTGGGGATGAGGGAACACCAGTCAGGGGAAGATTTGATCTGATCCCACCGTAGGTAACAGGAAGGGAGCCCCCTGGCTTCTTCTCTCGCCCGCCATTTATCAAGATCTGCCTGTTTACTCTGATGGCTCAATTTCCTGGGCACGAGAGGGGTTTCCTATACTCTGGGAAGCCCCAATTCTGGCCCCTCAACTCCCAGACCAGGCCAGGGTGTCCATGAAGCAGTGAAAGAGAAGGGATGGAGGAAAGGGGCTCAAAATCTTTTAAGGCAGGCCTCTCCTGAGCTATCTTTTGATGTTCCCTGTGCGCTAAAAAAGTCCTTTGGAGAAAGGTACCCAGCCTGGGGACAGGATGGGATACACTCCAGAAATGACCACCCAACAAGGGTTGAGTGGGCCTGCTCCAGCTCCTCCAAGGTCCCAGCCCTGATACAGAGGCTGCATGCTTCCTCAGCCAGGGCTCGGGGTGAGAGGTGTGGTATAGACACCATGGACCTGGAGGGGCCAGCCCACTTACCGCCAGCAGAGCTCCCCAGAGGTCCCGAGCTGCATGTGCTGAGCAAGGGTTCGGAGAGGCGGCTACCCAGGGCACTGGGCGAGGTTGGCGTGGAGGCGGGGGAGCAGGGGAGTGATGGGATGCCCCGCTCGGCAAGGATGGTGGAGCCTGTGGAAGGGGAGGGAAGGATGCGCTAGCCACTCAGAGGCCCACTAGGAGAAAGCTTGAGTCTCTGCCCGCCTCCGGTAGGTTCCCAGGAGAGAAAGTGGGTGCCGCAGCCTCATCATACAGCCCAGCCACTGGGCTCAGGGCAGGATGCCATAAGCTGGCCCAACACCCTGCCGCAGCTCTGTTCCTGCCTCCAAACTGGAGGGCCACATTCGGTCTGGTATTACCACTTCAGCACTCTCCAAACAAGCTCCCTGCCTGGAAGCCCTTCCATCCTTCCCCATGCATCCTTCACCTTCAAGAACAAGGCCACCTTCCACCCGCCCAGCATGGCTCTTCCAGCCCTAGCTTCCCGCTCCTATCCAGAGCCCTGTGCTCTCCATCACTGTCTCCAGCTACTGCCCACCCTCTCCTCTGCACTGGCATCTTTGAAATGCCCTTCGCCATCTCCCACACTTGTTCTGTCCTACATTCTTTCCCTCTTTCCTTCCTTCACACCTTTCTCTCTCACATTCACCTCTCACCTTCCTGTTCCCTCTCTCCTCCCTCCTCCCTTCAACAAGTCCTTTCTGAGGGTCTACCAGGTACCGTGCATTGTGTATACATAAAACTGGGAACAAGACCTACAGAGCTCCTACCCCAAAGAGCTGACAACAGTCCAGGGAGCTTCTTGGGGCTGCCCTCAAAACCCCTCTTCTTGGCAGCCTTGATTCCCTGCAACCACATTACTCTATTGAAATAAACACTGACCAGCCACACGTAAACACGTGCAGGACTAAACAACCACAGATCCTGGGGCGATATTTGTTCTTTGCCCAGGAATGCAGCTTTGTCTCCCCAGTTAAACCATGGGGTTCCTGAGAGCAGGAAATCTTTTCACCTGTGACTCTCCCACAGGGCCTAACATAATGTCCTACACACAAGTGCTCAATGAGACCTTTTTTATGTTATTTGTTCTAATTCATTTAATAATCACTTTCTAGGAATACTCACTAGATGTCCACAGGATTTCTCTTAATAGTGTTCATAGTTTTCAAGTTAATCATCATCTCCTTCAGAAAGTCATATGTCCTACTTGCTTTTCTTGCCTTACTGCACTGGCTAGCATTTTCAGAATAATACTGCAAGGCATCACGATCATATTCCTGACTTTAATGAGAATGTTTCTGGTGTTTCACCTTTAAGTATGAAATTGGCTGTAGTTTTGGAGTGAAGGAAATAGCCTTCCATTCTCAGTGCACTTAGGTCTTCAACAGAGCAAAGCATTCCTCTGTGAGGTAAATAATTACCTTTCATATATTGTCACTGGTTTGTTTTTCCTTTAGAGTTAGTCAGGATCCCCTAAAACCAATTTGCTCGTTAAGACACCCAATTCTCCAAACATCTCAGGAGCACTCTATTTAGTAAATATTGAATTCTGGATGATTATTCTTCAACACCCATCTTGGCCCACTTACCTCTTGGGACATTTAAGTCCTGATTTTTTTTTTTTTTTTTTAAGCGTCTTCTTTGCTCTAGTCTAGTAAGCCTCTTTGGGTAACAGAAGCCTCACTGGAAAGCTACTTATCTATTATTAGATGATGCTGAGGCAAGAAAGTACCTTGCCCTTAATTTCATTCGTCTGAGGAGCAGTGTCTCCCACTGAGTGTAGCCAAATATCTTTGTACCTCAGCCTGATTTTTCCTGCACCCAAGTCCGATTTCTTTTTATTCTATCCTGAATTTTCACCCCTACTTCTTTCCTTCCTGATGTCTTTTCAGCTAGCCTTATTTCTTTTCATTCCTTCCTGATTTATCTTCCCTCAGTCGTTAACTTCTTAGCATCCCAGCTTCACTTCTTTTCATTCTTTTTTATTTTTTATTTTTTTTTACACCTACAGCACCTGGTCTTCCTAGGTGGTCTCCCATCCAAGTACTAACCAGGCCCAACCCTGCTTAGCTTCCGAGACCAGATGGGATGGGGCTTGTTCATTTTCATTCCTTTTTAAATTTATTTTTCACTCCATCTTCGTTTGGTCTCTGGACTAGAGTAGGAAGTCCCCAATGACTTTGATTTTACAAACTCTCACACACTCCAACAGCATTACATACACAAAAACACATGCATTTAGTTATTCACATGTGCCTATACAGTGTATGCTCATCTTATAGTGTAACTCATGCCCACTCACGTACACACATTATCACCTCCTGGGGTGAGGTCTAAGTTGGGGGCCTGTGAAGCTCAGGAGTCTCTAAACTTGTCTAAGCAAACTTGCTAAAAAAAAAAAAAAAAACTTCAGACGCCCAGGACCTATCAAGATCTACAGAATTGAAATCTCTGTAGGCAGTACTCCAGAATCTGCACTTTAGTAGTGCAGATTAGTTGTCCAAGTGAGTCTAATGAAACTAGCCCAGTCTACTGCAGCAGATTAGCAGACAAGCACTGGGAATATCTGCTCACTCTGGGGTAAAAGAGGTCCCAGGAGACACTTTGTGAAAAAAAAGTATTTCTGGTCAAATTAGTGTGGAAAAGCTATACACCATAACCACCACCACTTCCTCCTTAGAGACTTCACACGTGCCTATTAAAGGCTCTGAGAAGTTCAGCAGTAAAGAATGCCCCACTTTTTTTAAACTCAATATTTCCCAAACTTTTTTGATCCAACGACCCTTTTTCAATAAACACTTAACCCAGTGAACACTCTGGGAAACATGCGTTACCCTTAGTCCACATTCCCCAGTCCATTCAAACCCAGGAAAGTATGGCTCAGACTTCAGCAACCCCCATTTCCTCCAAAGCCCTCTGCTCAGGGATTCCCCACAGGCCCCTGAGCCAGGCGCCACCCTGCACATACACCTGGCACCTGACATACCAACCTCTTTTTATTTTTTAGACACACAAACATTCTTGAAGGCAGAGGCCTTTATTCCCATTTTGGAGAAATGAAAACAGTCTCAAAGAGTTAATTGCTGGTGGAAACAACATTTTCTCATTTTTAAGTGGCCACTGCAGTGTGTGTAGTTTTTAGATAGATAGATAGATAGATAGATAGATAGATAGATAGATAGATAGATAGATAGACAGACAGACAGACAGACATTGATATATCGATGTGTGGGAATGTGGGTTCATCAGCTTGAGTGGGACTCAATGATCCATGCTTTTTCTTCCCTCCCGAAGGTGCATCTGCTGAGACTGAGGGCCACAGACTAGAAAATGGAGTCCCGCCCAGAATTCATTTCAGTGAATGCAACTCTTTGGCAAGACCACATGACGAGGTGGGGCGGGATTGGCCCTCTTTTTCCCTATCCTGACCCACGCGTGGCCGGGAGCACTCACCGAGGATGCGGATCTGCGTGACGGCCCCGTGCAGGCCGAAGAGCATCCAGAGCGGCTGTGAGGCGTCCACGCACAGCTGCATGCCCGCGGCGGCGCCGTTGTGGCTGAGGTGCAGCTCGCCGTCGGCGTTGACCACCAGGCCCAGGATGTCACCACTGTGCAGAGGCCCGGGCACGCGGCAGACGGCCCAGAACTCCTTGCGGTCCACGAGGGCCTCAGGGCTGAAAGGCAGGTCGGCGGGCCGCAGCGTGCCAGGGTCGCACGTGGTGACGCCGAAGGAGAGCGCGCCGGGCCGCGCGCCGCCCGAGCGCGTGACCTTGACGAAGATGGTCTCGGCCACATGCACGGGCCGGCTGGTGAAGACGAGCGCGCGCTCGTCGCGCCCGTGCTCCAGGCGCGCCACCGTCTGCTCGTCCAGGATCCGGACGTGCGCGCCCGCGCGCAGCGCATGGAAGCGCAGGTCACCGTCGAGCTGCGCGGGGAGCGCGCGGCTGTGCTGCGAGTTGAGCGAGTTCTGCGGGATAGGGCAGCCGACGGCTAGCGTGGCCTCGTCGCTGTCCGCAGCGGGCACGTTGAGGTCGCACAGGCTCACAGAGAGGCGCGCGTCGTCGGCCTCACGTCGCAGTGACGGCCTCCGCAGGGCGGTGAAGGAACGCGGCCGCAGGCAGTCCGGCAGTACCAGCTCGCTATCTGCGGTCAGGGAGGAGAGGACAGGGCTACCATCAGGCAGGCCCGATGGGACCAGTCCCCATCGCCTGCACCCTACGACTAATCTTTAAAGTATGCACCATCAACACCCTTCCCAGACTTTTAAAGGCACAGAAGATGCTAAACTAACAAGCAAAGTTGGAAGACCAAGTTGTGCAGGGCATCTATTTAAGAATTAAGGCTCGAAGAAATGACACCAAAATTGAAAATGAGGGTCGTTATGACTTTAATTAAATTTAGCTTTGAATCCTAGTTCTAGAAATCATAGCTCTCTACCCCCTCATAGCCTAGCTCTCCCCTAGGTAATCAGCAACCCCCAAGGCAGCAGAAGACAATAGCCCGGACTTGACTAATTGTCACGAGGTCTGGACCTCTGGCAGCCTAAAGATAGCATCTTGACCTAAATAATGTTTCAGACACTGAGCTGGAAGGTGGAAAGACCCCCTGGCTACTTTTCCATGAAAATAGAGAGATGCCAGAGCAGACCTCAGAACTGTCCTCACCACGGGAAGAAATGGTTTATTACGCTTACCTCACCTCTAACCAATCATTTCCCAGCATGACCTCGAACCCCTAACAGCCCTTGACTTTTGATTTTGCCCTACATAATCTGTAACCTACATGCCATTGGAGAGCCAGGTCTTAGGGAGATAACTCTCTAAATTTCTACGTCAATATTAAACTATTTTACTTTCTATACTGCAAACTCCTGGCGTTTCTTTTGGGCTAGGGCACATAGGCAGACAAATTCAAATACCAGGGTCCCCATAACAAAATAAAAAAACATGATTGATTCTAAATGATACACTTATAAAAGATTTTTTTAAAAATTTAACTCTTGAAGCCCTCAATCTTTATCCCCAGTAGCTAGAACAGCCCTGATCACTTAGTAGAGAAGTAAATATGTGTTGAATGTACTGGTGACATCCCCAGAACTCCTCTTTGCACAAATTCTTATCCTAACAGTTACCTTTTGAAGTTATCCTTGCCACAAAAGGACAATGCAGTTACGTAAATTTATCCAAGCTAACCTTTTGAATGTGACTTAACAGGAAATCAAAACCTGTCTCTTTTCAACCACATACGTCATACAGACTGTGTTTTATAGAAAAGACACTTTAGCAAAAAGTTAATCGCCTGTCAGCCCCCCATCTAGAGAAAAATACTATTAATATTTGGATGTATGATCCTCCAGCCCTTTTTTGCAATATATTTTTCAGTTACTTTTTTTTTAATACAAAAATTGAATCATGCTATATAAACACCAGTAATTTTTAACCACTTATGGGTAACAAATCCCTTTAAAATGTGATAACTTTGATCTATCTCCTCCTAAGAAAAGTGCACATTCTCCCAAAATTCTGTGGATAATTTCAGGGCATCCGTGAATCACAGAAAGCCATTCATGGGCATGGACTCCAGACTAAGAACTCTGTCATACAGATTTCCTTTTGAAAACTAGCTTTTCCACTTTCTATGTCCTAAACACCTTTTCATGCCAATGAGTATGTTTCTAACACCATATTCTTTTAATAGCTGTGTTTTGTCCAGCTTTATGGAGTCCTGTAATTTATAATAAAAGTCATCATGCACAATGAATTACCTCTGCATTTCATCCTTTAAGCTTCCCATGGAGGTGTTCCCGCTGTACAGGTAAAGCTCAGAGATGTTATGTGACATCTGCCAAGTGGTAGATCCACGATTGAAGCAAGGTCTAACTCTCAATTCCACAGTCTTTGCTTTCAGCCCCTCCTTTTTATTGAAGCCCTTCTGTGGCAGTCCCCAAATTTGACTAGTGCCACAGTAGGCCACATTGTGGGCCAATCCCTCCCTGGGAGCCTTTTCTCTGAGTGTCCCCACAGGAGAATCTGTGCTTCCTCTCCAGGAACTGGGTAAGAATGGCTGGGGTGCTCGGTGTGGGAGCAAAGCCTGGGGGACTGGGCTGGTATACGCACCAGAGGCCAGAATTCAGCTCTAATCACATCTAGAGACAGTCCTTAAAGCCTCCCTGTTCTTGTTCTCCCCCACCCAGCCCCCCTGCCTCTTCCAGGAACAGTGTTGTTTGGGCCCAGGCAAGGAGAGAGTGCCGGGCCTTCCCCCCAAGTCCACTGTCTCTCTGAAGAAGCCTCATGGGGCCTAACTGGTTGGGATTTCCCAGCATCGTGCTTGGCAAGGAGAAGGGAGCCGACCGGAAAATACGATTATTCCAGGGAATTGACTCTGTGACAGTGATGGTGCAGAGAGGCTGGGGGGCTGCAGAGAGGCAGAGGCGAAGAGGGCCCAAGCAGGAAGAGGAGGCACAAGAGGCAAAGCGGGGACCTAAGGAAGGCTGTAGGGTTGACCTGGAACCCAGAGAACAGACCCTGTTCCCCGAACCCTCAGGGATTCCAGGCAATGCCCTTGAGGACTCTGGAGGGCTAGAGACAGAGAGGGAAAGGGACAGGAACAGCTGGATGAGGAAGAAACAAGTGGCTCAGAGATGCTCAGCCAGGACCTACAGGAACAAGGCTGTCATAGGGGTCCACACACATATGTACCCCCGCATTTCTCTCCCCACTCCACACACACTCAGGACAATCAGTCAGAGCCCATGGATCTGGGAAGACCCTCAAAACAGATTTCTGAATGGGGCTGGATGTCAGCTATCCTGATCTCTGCCCCGTCTACTTGAATATGGAACCCTCTTCCACTTGAATATGCCTACAACCAGGTGCTCACCACCTTCAAGGCAACCTGTGCTGTTGTTGGGCTACTCTGTCTTTAAGAATGTGTCTCCTCCTCCTTGTATTTACCTCTGGGGCTGCCTCTCAGCCCCATACAGAAGACAAATCTCCTCAAGGAATACTCAGACTCCCCATACACCTTCCCACCTCTTAGACAGACTCAGTATTGAACAGAACCAGACTCAGTGTTCCAGATGTGCCCTGACCAGCTCAAAGCACAGTGCAGCCATCATCCCCCCTGATATGTACGCTATACTCCTAATAATGCAACCTAAAAGTAGGTTAGGTTTTTAGTAAACAAAATCCATATTCTGGTAGGCAAGATAAGAGCATCATTAAGTGCAAGGGCTTTGAAGCCATCAGCTGGGGTTCAAATCCTGACTCTGCCATTTCCTGGCTATATGACCTTGGACAAATAGCTTAACCTTTCTGGACCCCTCTTCTTCAACAGTGAAATCAGCATTTACTGATTGTTACAAAAATCTATATTCTAATATTCCCCCTTGGGAGGAATGCTGTGAAGGTGAAGTGGAATAAGGTACCTAGGGCACCTAGTAGAGACCTGGCATGAAATAATCAGTGGGTTCATATGAAACACTGTTATTATCTTTTACATGCCACGTGGCTCAGAAGAAAGTGCCTGGCCTTCAGGGTGATTCGGGCCTGAGTTTAAATATCCGATCCAGCACTTGGCTGGTGGCCTGTGGGTAAGCAACTTCCCTCCAGCCTCAGCTCACTCACCTAGAGAACAGGGGTAATAACACCTGCCTTTCGATGTTGTTGAAGGGATCAGAGGTAGAGTGAGAAGCCCCTGGCACCTGGGTACCTGATAAATTCACATATTACTATTTGCTCAGGTTGAGTCTGTCAGCCAAAGTCAGGTCCAGCTGCACTCAGGCAATTAACTTTTTGGACCTAAATGTAGGACTTTATAGTGGTTATGATGGATACCCAGGATATAATCACTGAATAACATCCTGACTAAAGACCAGAAAAAAAAAGCTACAAGTGGAGATTAGAGGAGAGAGAGAGAGAGAGAGAGAGAGAGAGAGAGAGAGAGCGAGCGAGCGAGCGAGCAAGCGAGCGAGCAGGAAAATGACCCTTTCGTATTTGCTTGAAATATTGTAGGAGTTGAGAGAGGAGGTACAGGAGATGGTGGGAAACAGCTAAAAACAGAATCCCTGGGGCAAGTGCCCAGCCCAAGTATGTCTTCTCTCCCATCCCCTCCACCCTCAGGGTCAGGAGCAGCTGCAGGCCGCCAGCAAGCTCCAAAATAACAATCCCATCGGTGTGCCCAGCTGCGCCAGAGCCTTGAAATAGATGAAACTTGAGATCGAGGAGCTGGTCAGAGCACCCTCCGCAGAAAGAACAGCAAGGGTCACGGCTGGGTGAGCTGACAGCAAGTCAGAGGTCAGGGAAGGGTTCAGGCTCCCAAAGCCTGGGAGAACACCATGGGAGCAACCTCAGCCCAGGACTGTGCCCTGGGGGGCAGCTCGGAAAAACCAGGCAGGCAACCTATAACCCTAAGCAGTGGCCCCACATTTGGAAGCAACAAGTTATGTAATCTATGCCCGGGACACACAGCTGCCCACTTTGGAGGTTTTATGATGGGGGAGGGGCGGCACAAGGACAAGAGAGAGGCCGCTAAACTCAGTCCCCTCCCCATCCTCTCAGGAAGGAATTTGTCATCTTAAGCTTCTGCCTAATCTGGTGCATGGCAGTGGCTCTGCAGATCCCCTGGGCCAGGGCAGAAACCACCGGGCCCTGAAAGGGGCAGAGAGACCCGGGCTAGGGGTTTCCTGCCCTCAGGGTGGCACTCAGGGCACCCACTCACTGATCCACTGTGTGCCCAACCCTGGGCGGAGATTAAGGAGAGAGGGAGAAGCCAAGACCTGGAGAGCCAGTAGCCCTTAGAAGGATTGAAGCTTGGAGGCATGAAAATATTTGAACACAATTTGTTATAAAATTTTAGTGTCTCTGGTTAGACAGGGACCTTAAAGGAGAGGAGGAAATCTACTTGTCTCTGCCAAGTTCTCACCCAGGCTTGGCTAGAATGCCCCTGGTGACATAAGCAGCTCACCACCTCCAAGGCTATCTATCCCTATCTCTGAAGAGCTATGACTAATGTTAGAGAGCCTCTCGTTGCATGGATCCTTATGTGGCCTGTATCCACTCCTTGGAGCTCCCTTTAGAAGAAGAGCCTTCTCTTCTTTAAGATAAATATCTCTTTTAGGATAATGCTCTCCAACTGAGGCTAAG